GCATGTGAGGTGGCTAAGAACTAACAGGAATAGACAAGTGACGTGCAACAGGAAGCTACGATACAATATTCTTCTTCCTCTGAACTGTTTTCTGGAATTTGGTTTGTTTTTTGTGGATAGGATCTTGGTTACTGGAATGTACCAAGAATATAACATCTAAAAATTTGTGACCATAGCATATTAATATAATTACTGTTTCTGGACATTATCCATCATCCTTTTTTTAATTAAAACATATGTTTCAGAGATCGGGACTAGCTTTATCAATTGGGCCCATCTGAGTAAGTTCAACCTGAAGATGGAGACAGAATCCAGACTCTTAAACACTGTTTTATAATAAACACAGGATGATGGATAATGTCCAGAAACATTGTTACTGCACCATGAATATGTTATATATTATTTAGTGGTAATGCATGTGGACTATGAACATCCCATGGGGTTAGGTCTATTATACTTACTGCAAGAGGGTATGTGTTGCTATCTGGTGTATAAGATCTCAAATATTGGGTTGTATGTAAAATCTTTACTGGAGGAACTAACCCAAGCAAAAGAGGAAATGTATAAATCAGAATACAACATATATGCCTATCCTTACAAGTATACCTCAACCAGAAAGGTCAGAAGGGGCAAAGTGACATGTCATTAGATTACACAACTAAATGTTTTACTTGTACCTGCAGGTTTCCATAGTTTCAATCTGAGAGATGAGGTTGACTTTTAGCATAATGCAGAAATGAAAGCACATATAAAACTGCAACAGTTATCAACAATTAGGTCACATGCATATAGCCCAAGCAGAAATGAAGTGATTGTGGTAGGAGGCAGTCATGCGAGAGGATCTTCTGAGTAACTTATCCCACACCTCAGTATGTGGGCATGTATTTAGGTCGTTAAAAATGATTGACATTCCCTCCATAACTCTGGAAAAGTAGCAGTGCTCAATGCAAGCCAGTGTATGTGGGAAGACATACTATAGTGTCAGCTATGGCCATGAGATGACGTTGCTACTGCGCACAGGTTGAACAGTGCTGTGTCATTTGTGGCGGTGTGCAGGTGCAGTCATGGACAACAGACAATCATGGGCAACGGTGGACTGTGTGGTTTCTCTGGAGGGAAGGAGTGGCTGTTTCACACATTCACACGCCAGTCTATGGAGTGGAAGCATGCTGGGAGCCCTCCTCCCAAGAAGTCACGACAGGGACTATTCGTCCGAAGCAAATGGTGACTGTGTTCTGGGATCGGGAGGGGATACTTCTGTTGGATTGGCTGCCCCCCAATATGACCATCAACAGTGTTCAGTACTGCAATTCACTGCGCCAACTCCGCCAATGCATTCAGCAACGTTGCCATGGAAAATGGGGGCGCGGCGTTCTTCTCCAACAACGCAATGCACAGCCACATGGCAGTCAGCATACCATTGTCAGCCTGGGTGCTCTAGGGTACACTGTGCTGCCTCATTCGCCATACTCACCCGATTTTTCTCCTAGGGACTACACTCTATTTGATGCAATGAAAGATGTCATGCGGGGGTAAGATGTTCACCTCCAATGACGAGCTTCAGGCAGTTGTCTGGCAGTGGCGCTGGGATACCACCAAAGAATGGTTTGCTGCGCAAATATGGAAACAGCCCGAACGATGGCAAAGATGCACTGACATTGGCGGGGAATACCTCTAATATAATCTGTATACATTTTGTTCCAATAAATGGTTACTGTGACGAAAAAACATTTAGTGTCAATCATTTTTGAATGCCACTAGTAAAATCAGGAGTAAACATCAGGACAGTTATCACAGTTTGAATCCTGAGTGAAATAAAGCAACTAAGGAGGACTGCTGTACTGTGGAGTGGAGCTAATGATGTGTGATAAAATAATTCAAAGGATTCTAATGTACAGAAAAACTGAGCATGAAAACGCAAGTGTAATATTCATGGGTGTCCCATGGAGATAAGACTTATCTTCATCTTATGTTAATTCTGAGGCTGAAAACTTTAACAGGAAAGTTATGAAAAAAATTAGAATATATCCACATGTAATCACTATGGACAATGACGAGAAAAATGACACACTTCGCAACTCATTACCTGCATATGAGTTCTAAAGGAAAATCTGTAACGGTACAAAATACTACCACACAGACCGCTGATGTAACTACTAGCAAGAAAAAAAGAAGCCACAGAATTCGACACCAGTTAGGTAAAGGTTTTACTCAGAAGAACATGGAGAAAAGTGATGATATAACACCACTACTGAGTGCATCAAGCTAACTCCAGAAACACCAAACTAATGAGAACACTAGACCATGCTGAAATAACATCATGTTATAATGACTAAGTAAGGATGTGGAAGTGGCCATAACCTAATTTGAGGGCAGAGATATTGGGTTTTCGGACTTTATCCATCGTCCTGGTTTTTAAGATAACTAAGAAAAACACGATGTTTCGGAAACTGGATCTGTTTCTGTCCTCAAGTGAGGGAAAACATCTATTCTGTTGGGCCCCTTAGAAAGATTCCAGTGATTGAGGCTAGCTCTTTCTAAGGGACCCAACAGAATAGGTGTTTTCCCTCACCTGAGGACGGAAACAGATCCAGTTTCCGAAACATCGTGTTTTTCTTAGTTATCTTAAAAACCAGGACGATGGATAAAGTCCGAAAACCCAATATCTCTGTGTGTTATACACCATCGTCAGAATCCTATAGTAACTACTTCTAATTTGAGGGATTATCAAAACATCTGCTTGGAAGAAACTGAGGGAAAACCACAAGAAACAAGTTAGGATAGCCAGTCTCTGGGTCAAAATATGCCATGTGCAAGCCCATGTGTCATTAGTATCACAACCAGATCTTGATGACAGGAACTTCAAAGCAATGTTCATGGAGAAACATAATAAAACAGACGCACTCAGGACCAGGGAAGAAAATGAAGCACAGACACTCAAGGATCAGTTGGAGTTGGCTACATGCCCTAAAGTATCAATTCAGCATCACAGGCTGTTCTAAATGTGCTGGAACTTGAAGCTGTCTTCCCAGATTCTCCATATGAAACAAGACATGAGGCAGGAGGTTGTTAACAAATCAAATAACATAGCAGGGAGAGCGGCTAAAACGCCTGAATCATGTACTGAGGAAAGGACTAGCCTGCACCATACCAGCTACACTGAAGGTGATGGCTAGGTGGGAAATATATCATCAGTGTGCTTCATTGCTTCAAGCCAGCTGCATGTAACATGTACAAGTGTGAAACACAATACAGTTATGTACATTATAATACAAGCAACATGAAGTGATAATGTAAAGTGAGAGGTGTGATTACTGAAAATAGTCACCCATCTATCCATTCAAAGATCCCTTCACCACTGATGGCAAGCCCTTTACATTGTCCATTTCTCCCGCAACGTACTTATCACTGGCCATACCTGCCAAATCCCTACATTGACACATTTCTTGCTCCACTACAACACTTTTGAATACATGTGAAAGCATCGGAAGTAATTTGGAGGAAAAGTTAACTGCACAGATGCAAGAGGACACAAACTAGACTGAAGGATTCTGCCACCATACAGATGAAGTTTGCCTACACACAGTGAACATGACCGCCTCTCTAGTACTAGCAGATGCTCAGATTTGTGGGCCTGACAATGAAGGTCACCACTAAATTACTCAATCTAATACACATCACCATACTCTATTTTAATGTTGTTGCATACAATGTTACACCAATAAGAATTTCAAGCAGTTGCAGCTGATGTCATAATACCAGATGCCAAGTGCAAGGATTCTAGAAACTGCATTAAAATCAGAAACGCCTGTACTGCTGGTATGCCAGCTGACTTGAGATATCCAGACTCATGGCAGCAGCATAAAAGTCTGTTCACATTCACATCCAAACAAATTAAGATCGACATAACTGATAAGCCATAATGATTAATCTTTAAACATGATGAATATTTTGGGCATCTACCATAATTTGGAGCTCTTTGAAACAGGGTCCTGAACACTAGATCTGTTTCCAACATCTGGTGTGGGGCAGAAAAGGCTGATACTTAGATGGGGCCGTTAGAAAGAACTACTCTTCATCACTGGACCCGACAGAAGTGCGTGACCAATCCCTCATCATTGATTTATGAAAGTATGCCATTTGCTAAAGAGCATAAAATTTCACAAAGTTCCCACAGTAAATCCAGGTGGCCACCATAGAACAAATGTCCGCTGTCATCAAACAATCCTCTATGCAAAGCATAGGGGTATTGGGTAAATTGGAAAACAAAACCCTTACCAACAAATGAAAGCTGCCTAATGGAACAAATTTTTAACTCTTCCCTCTTAAATCAGGATTTGGTGAATGGATTGTGTACAGCACAGATTTTACGGCCAGCCCTTCATCCTAAGACAATTTGAGTGTTCTCAAGCCACTGGAAAGAAACTACCTACCACCATCACTACCTGTAATAAATTAATGTATTAATTAAATTGTAGTCTCCCCCTAAAACTCCCTTAACCAATATGAAAGTTTGGAAGGGGATCCTTCAGAAGCCATAAGGCATGGCCTGCATAAAGAATGGCTGGTTTTGAACTTCCACTTGCCCAAAAGAGCCAACTACTGGAGTTCAGAGGTTAGCAAGCAGTTATCCAAAGAGAGTTTAGTTAAGCTAAGGGCCATGAGCAGTTAAGGGTGAGCTAAGGATCCACAGTTAACAGCTAATGAGAGAATTGCAGACAGGCTCTTTTGGACCCTCAGATGATCAATGGCTAATCTTCAGACATATTCTAGAAGTATACAATGGCATAAAATTATCATTATTATAACAAGAAAAATTTATGGAACCAGTGACTCTACATGAAATAATCTAAGTATGTAATGTTATTTGTGTACAGATTACAGGAAATGGGACCATTTAGTACCCTGAGATATGCCAGGCAAATTAATCACTGACCCCTGACACCCTGATCCATACCTACATCTGCATCTGGGAAGAAACCCTGATATACTGTATGATTAATAAAATAAAATAATAATAAACATAATACAATTAGGATAACAACTGATGTTCCTGATTTTGTTACAGATTGTAGGTAATAGCACTTTATTGTTGCATGTGACGGTTTATGTTCATGTATTCATGTTTTATTAATATTTATATATGGCTAACTGTTATGACATTGCACAATTGTTATGCAATATGTAATTACGCTTACTCATGTTGACTTCTTCTATATCCATGTTCATGTATTCATGTTTTTTGTAAATATTTATATATGGCTACTGTTATGACATTGCACAAATGTGATGCAGTATGTAATTATGCTTACTCATGTTGACTACTTCTATATCCGTGGTGTTTTGAAAAAACCATGTAAGGATTTATGGAATGCTGAATAAATGTAATGTAATGTAATGTAATGATTATTCTGAGAAAAGGGAAGATGATCATTTTGTTGCATCCTCGAAAAAAGTGGGCAGTTATAGCAACTTGGATGCTTGCAACATGAGAATGAGCAGTCAGAAGTGATTGAGGCTATAATACACAAAAACATGAACCTTACCTTTCCACCCTTTTCCCTGACAACAGGAAAACATAGCTTCCAAAACACTATATTTGGGGGGTGGGAACCTAAAGATGTCCAAAATAATACTCATGTTCAATTGTTGCACACATCTGTCAAGCACATTCAGACTTAAATATTTTTTTTCCAAATTCAACTTTCTTTACCACTGTTTTATGCCAGGCATATTTAGGTATTCGAGATAAACAGTAAAACAGGGAGGAATATTTCACTATTTCTTATTCATACAGCTTGAATTACCTGAAGAATCCATACCCAAAAACAATTATCAGATATAATTATTAGCTCTGAAAATCAATAATATATTTGAGCCCTGTAAATCCCTTGATAGTCATTGTATTTTCAAGCCCTTCTTTGTAATTGCTGAATGGAATGAGCTTATGAACAGGAGCTTTAAGATTTCCTTCTGCATACATTTTTGAGATATCTTGGAACATTTCAGCCTGCTCTGGAGTACCAGCATGATCTCCACCCCAGCGTGTCATCCAAAAACCACAAACTCTGATATCCTTGAAGATGAGAGCAGAAGTAGGAACAGTAACTGGCTCTCGAGACATTCCACCATATGTCACCATTGTGCCACCTCTATCAAGGTGTCGCAGACACTCCAATGCATTCTTTCCACCCACACAGTTTAGTGCAAGTTTAGGTTTTGGCACCACTGATTTCCTGAATAGTTCTGTTGTTCTGTTTGATGTAAACCAAAGAATAACAAGAGTTTAAAATTTACTCCCATAATTGTTATAATGATGGGACAAAAGAAACATGGAGCAGTAAAAAAGTGTATAGCTACCCTTGTAACAGGCCGTGAAGGCCCACAGGGATGTGAGACATCGAGGCCCCCACATTTTCTTGATAATTAGCTCACAGACGACGGTAAAGCTGTCAGCTTTTTGCATCAGCCACTCTTTAGTCCCTAGGAATATTCCTGGTACTCATTTCTGTTAGAGGTTGAGTTGACCACAGGATCACAATGCAGCTGGAAGGCTTACGCAAATTGAAAATATTAAATGGACCTCATTGGGAACTGAACCCACAACCTTCCGGCGTGTAGCACAGTGCCTCAACCAACTATGCTACCGTGTACCCCAACATGAGTGGGGAAAGGTTAATTTACATAAAACATTCTGTAATTTATACTATTAATTCTTAGCATTTTGTGGATTGACGCTCCCATCTCACATTGTACGATACTATGCAAATAACAGTCCACAGATGCAAAATGAACATTTCTATCTTCTGGGATATAATGCCATGTAGTCCATTGAAAACGAACATGTTTCTGAACACTGCCTGCTACCTGGTTCATGCTGCTCTCTTGCATTATTTATTCTTTAACACTGAAGATGGAGGCGACTTGTTTGTCTGAAACATCAGTTGACTTTCCATGGTCTACATAGAATTATATCCTGGATGATGGAATACTTCATAACTAGCATTGTGGGAACCTCGACTCTCATATACATCTGTTATTGGCACATCTGAATGAGTCTATTTACACTACAGAAATTAATACTAAAATAGAAGTCACAATCACTCACATGGCTTGAAAACATTGAAGTAGATATTAGTGAATTTACTGAATGGAAATGAGAGCATTAACTTCTGGGCTGTGACATCATCTAGTCCAGCAAAAGTTCACTGATGTTTTGGAGCAACACACTGCCTCCATCTTCAGGGTCAAAGAGTAAGTTGTTTCACTTGATGCCTGCTTCTTGCTTGGCATCTCAATGATCCAAATGATAAAGATAATATGTTCCTCTGAAACGTTGGTGAACTTCTACCAAACTATGTGGCATCTCAGATGACAGTACTCCTCACAGTCACTGCTGTGAGAATCTTAAATGCAACTGAACTGCAATGATTCAACACCCTGAGGGTTTTGGCATTAGCAGTACTGAACCTCAAGATTCTCTTAAAGGAAAATTAGTCTCTTTTTTTAAATATATGAAATTTTGAATTTTATTATAAACACTAACTCTAAAAAATATAATTTCATACATTTCTCATAATATCCAAAATGATAAGGGCCATTCACTTCATAAATATTTGTTCAGTTATTTTAAAAATACCAAAGGCCATTTTCTCCCATTACGTGTATGATAACTTTCATTCTGACATAACAGAGAAAGTTATAGGTTTCATTAAAGCAAAGACACTGGAGACAATTACAAGTCTCTTGTCATGAAACCTGACTCAAGGCCAAGGCACAGTTTTGCAGCTGCCTGAGGGTCCTGATGTCTTCTGCAATAAAATGCGTATATCTACAGTTCACGTTTATTTCAAACCTCAGTCCTTTCATATCTCATTCATATTCAATAACCCTGTAAGCCTGTGCTGCAAGGCACCAGACTACCTCCATATGGAAAGAGTCTTAATGCTTTGATATATTTCTATTACCTGAGCTCCTCTTCTGTAAGAACATATGAAGCTCCAAGATCAACTAAAAAGGCTTTCAGTTCATCAATGTTCTCTCGATTTCTCACAATATTCACGGAGGTGAATCCCCACACTCGACACAACTGAATCAAATACTGTCCAGCTGCGCTATTTGCTCCATTCTGTATTACTGTCTCACCTCTTGAAAGACTGACAAAGTCACGCAGCATGCGATAGGCTGTGCATGGGTTTACAGTCATTGTAGCTGCTTCAACAATGCCAAAATTATCAGGTATCTAAACAAAAGTTCAGTTCTGAGTGGGTAAAACAATGATCAGAACAATATGAATTGGAGCAGAATTAATCCAACATAGATTTCTACCATTACTGCTACATGAATAGCAGGGTCCATATTTTTACAACAGACCATTAATCCAGAGTGGTGTGTCAAAAAAATGCTTCAGGCTTTTTTTTGAGTGCATTATGGAAGAACAAAAGACACGGTTATTTTATGCAAGATGGTGTTAGGGCATACATTGACATTCATTTTATTAATGTTTTAAATTAAATTACGGAAGTTAGACACAGATTAAAGCGGTCTCCATAGTCTAGGGGTAACATTCCCACCTCATGACTCAACGTACGCGGGTTCAAACACGGTGGAGGTCGTGGAATTTTTAAGGGCAGAAAAATTCAGGGAACAAGTCCTCTGGGAGGGACTTTAAGCCATGTGTCCTGTGTCGTAGATTTACGGCATGTAAAAGATCCTCATGTATCTAGGAGACCTCTGAGCAAACTTAGGCAAAGTTTCCCACCCAAGCAGTTTCCAATTCCTCCAGTAGATGGGGAAGTATCGGGTACCACTGCCAGAGAGGGCTGACCTCNTGCACCGTGACCTACAGTGATCTGTTGTGCTTTGGGCAAACCTAAAAAACAAATTTTATTAAAATAATCCCCAAATATTGGGAGAACTCAAGTGAAACAGTGGCATTAGAATTATATCTATCAAGGTCAATGATCTCATTTCAATCAATCTTTCCAAAAGATGCAAAGTTTGTTTAAGAGAAAAAGGGAGACCATGTGTGCATCTACCATGTTTGTGGAAAGAGAAACACGCATGCTGGAAACCCATGCTAAGTGCAGCATCCATCACTGAGCTGTCAAAAGCAACGTTAGTGCTTTAAGGACCAAATTCACATACTACAGTTGGCTGACTGGAGATCAAGAAATTGCAGTAAACTCCCAAATTTTGAATATATCCAATCGGGAGAATTTAGGGGAGAAAAAGGAGAAAAAGGGAGACCATGTGTGCATCTACCATGTTTGTGGAAAGAGAAACACGCATGCTGGAAACCCATGCTAAGTGCAGCATCCATCACTGAGCTGTCAAAAGCAACGTTAGTGCTTTAAGGACCAAATTCACATACTACAGTTGGCTGACTGGAGATCAAGAAATTGCAGTAAACTCCCAAATTTTGAATATATCCAATCGGGAGAATTTAGGGGAGAAAAAGGAGAAAAAGGGAGACCATGTGTGCATCTACCATGTTTGTGGAAAGAGAAACACGCATGCTGGAAACCCATGCTAAGTGCAGCATCCATCACTGAGCTGTCAAAAGCAACGTTAGTCCTTTAAGGACCAAATTCACATACTACAGTTGGCTGACTGGAGATCAAGAAATTGCAGTAAACTCCCAAATTTTTAATATATCCAATCGGGAGAATTTAGGGGAGTGCCACAGCAGAGGAAATGAGGCAGAGAGGACCTCGAGTTTTTGAGAGAAGCCATCTCTGAGTTCAGTTGTCTGCCAACTCGTTAACTATTTAGATGAAGTTGTATCACTGTTGTTCTTCAAAAGTCTAAATTAGCAAGCCAAAGTGTTCACTGTAACTATCCTTATAACTTCTAATGCAATTAAAAAAAAAAAGTAATGGCATCCCTGTAACAGGCCGTGGAGGCCCATAGGGTTGTGAGATGTTCAGGTTCCCATATTTTCTAAACAATCGGTTCATAGATGGTGGCAAGGTTGTTAGCCTTATGCGCCGGCCGCCCTTTACCCCCAAGAATATTCTGAGAATATTCCTCATACTGATTTCTGTTAGAGGCTTAATCAAACCCAGGGCCATAGTGTGGCTGGAAGGATAAGGTCAATTGAAAAAAATCCAATGACCTCATCAGGACTTGAACCCGTGACCTTCTGGCTTGCAGCATAGTGCCTCAACCAACTTGTAGTATGACTAAAGGGAACTAAGTACTTATACTTACTCATGGAGCTGAGCCCTTCTGGAGGAGCCATGAATTCTGCAGCTACTCAAGGATTTCCCAGCATTTTATGGAACCTGATGGTTCATTACCATGTTCACAAGAGCCCTCCACTGGTCCCTATCCTGAGCCAGATCTATCCAATCCATACCATCCCATCCTATCTCTCTAAGATCCATTCTAATATTGTCCACCCACCTACGCCTTGGTCTTCCCTGTGGTCTCTTTCCTTCTGGCTTTCCCACCAATATCCTATAAGCATTCCTCGTCTCCCTCATTCGTGCTCCATGACCTGCTGCCTCATCCTCCTTGACTTGATCATTCTAATTATACTTGGAGAAGAGTACAAGTTATGAAGCTCCTCATTATGCAGTTTTCTCCAA